CATTGACCTATTCAGTCTTATAAACCATTTGATTTTTTTTGTATGACCACACTGCCCTAGATTTTTGGAGCAGATAAAAAAAGATAGAAGGAAACCAAGAGAAAAAAAATCCTTCCAGTTTTTTTATTCTTTACATGTTAAAGAAATTTTAGGTATCACATTAATAACCAAAAGACATTGAAGGATCTGAAAAAACTTCTTTATTATATAAGGTTCGATTGTTAAACTAAATTTGAAACTTTCTTAATTATAAAGCCATTTATTTGCAAACAGTAGCTGGGTTCTAAAAATAAACTAAATTTCTTCTTTTTGTGAATTTTGGAGATACAGTAAATTTTGATATTAAATGCCCTAAAGGAAAATAGCCTTAAATTGTGAGAATATATTGGCAAACAAGATTCCCTTTCTTCTCTGTAAGTTACAATTATATAGTTACCCAATAATTATTGTTATCCATAATATTTGATTTGTTTTAATTAATACTATAATTTTTAACAATTCTCATTCCATTGAAATTATACTTAATGGCACTCGGTCCAAAGTAATTGATCACAATTGCAATCAGATATTTTATCTGTAACTGCATGCATTCAAGGTATATACATGTACCTAGTAAATGTCAAGTTCTTGTGCCATATGCCAATTCATTACAAAATATTTTCCCTGCATATTATGAAAGAATTTTCAGCACATTTAACAGACATAAAGGGTAATGGATATACTTTCTCCCATTATATTCAGGCGATCCAGACAAGAAAACTGCTGAGTTAATATGAACCTCTTTTGGACAAATTGATGGCACCTCAACAATTAAATACCGTGATTAGCAACTAGCTCTGATTTCAGGAAAAGGTGCTATTTTCAACAAATAGCATTTATCAAAGATACTCTCCACAGCCATCAAAAGAATCCATTTTATTGTCACAGAGATCATGGGGGATCAAATTCTTGAGAAAGCCCTATTATTTAATGACTATGAAAAAGCTTTCCGTACAGTTTTAATGTATGCTGAATGGTGCTACTCTTTCGGTCGTAAATCCTGCAAAAACCATAGAATGAATCAATAGGACGCAGACCATATACGGCAATTAACCACCATATTCTGTTCCTCTGGTTTCGAATAAAATGTATCGTATTAAGCAAATTTGCCATAAATTACACATTAAAGAATACTTACTATAGGAAAGGTTCTACTTCTTTATCTGTATTTTTTTACGCAAATCATTTTTTTTCGTGTGACTGCGAAGTGACTTTGAGAATGATCAAGCACTTTTCATTCAAAGAACCAAAATATGTTCTTTTTTTGTGTTAACCATTATCCAGATATGGGCAATAAAAAGTTTAAAATTTAAAGCTGACAGCTAATAATTGGATTAACATGTCGTGAGATACAGTCGGAGGTATTCTAATGACTCAATTTGAAAGAAATAGACATCTGCAAGGCCAATATAGCCTTATTAGCTCAAATTTATCTGATATTATGATTTCATCTTTACTGATATCTTTCTGATAAGTATCTCCATGCCTGCCACACATTAGGTTTAATAGTCAGTACTGATAAAAATCATTTCAGTATATTTCAGCAAAGTAATCTACGCATATAAAAATGATTTTTTTTTTTTTCAAATTTAGCATCAATAAGTGACTGCAAGCAGCTATCAAAAAACTTTTATTTTAACATAACAGAAGGATTTGGAAAAAAATGTTAAAGACAACTAATAATAAATTGACACAAAAGATCCATTTAGTTTTCTCAAGCCAATGGTGTAGCTATTGTATCATCCAAAAAATGAAATATTTACAATAATTTTTAAAAACATATCTTTCCCAAGAGGGTTGCCTCCAAATTTTAAATTCTCTGACAAGAACCTTAAAACTGTGACCGGACTCCAATTGTAATCTCATTTTACCAAATATAAAAACTAACGGTCTTTCAGCATTTTTTTTTCAAAGTAAAAAACACTTCCAGACACCAGAATGTCTTAAGATTTTTCCTCTCACCCAATCATGACAAGGAGCATGATGGGAGTGAACCAGCTAACACGGGGGTGATTACTCCTCCATGGCACCTGATCCCATCTCTGATGTTTTAAGAGGCCTGTGTTTGCTCTGCTCTCAATTCCAATTGTGTTGTTCCCATGGACTTTTGGGATTGATAACAATGTTGGTTATTTTCATATTTCATGAGTAATGAAACAAACTATTTCATTCATGTCTCCCAAAGTACTTCATATGACATCCTCCAAAGTACTTGTTATATATCTAGGAAGTTATCAAAGAGTTCAAAAATGCTTGAATGTTGACAGGTTTTAATATTGCATATGGACACATCAATAAGAAAAGTTTGGTTTTTTTTGGTTGCTTCACCTAGGAATTTAACAATGAGTGATTGATGGACGACCACATTCCTTATACATAGGGAGATCTCTATGGTCTGTTTACCCAGCCTGATAAAGTTCTTGTGCCGATTGCTGGGTACACAAGGCGAGCGTGCCCCTCCGCAATCTGCCTAATTCCTCCTGGTAACCTGTCCTTACGGGTGTACAGGCACAGTGAGGTATCTATAACATCATTTTCTAATCTGCTAGATTACAAGAACAATAAATAAACAAACTTGTACTAGATTAAACAAAATCGGAGATTACGTATTAAAATAAACTTAATCAACATGGTCGAGATTAGCCTGAATAGCTTAGAGAAAGAAATGAAACAACCACAAGTAATTCATTTAATAACTGCAATTTTACAATGTATTCGTTTGTGTCCTTTTTGTCTGCTTTGTCGAAGGGATTAAATTGTGTGTTGGCTTTTTAACATGTGACTAATTCATCCAATGATCAATCAAAGTTAAATCGTCATCACACAACATGTAGGAGATATAAGTAAACAAAATAGTTTCATGCATTGTCCGCCATTTCCTGAAGAAATTCCTATATACTTAATACCAAAATGGAACTTAGGTAGATCAAACATACCAATGCAAGTCGTTATTTGTTGTAACATTCAGACTTGGTACATTTAAGTACCTACGAATATAAGTACAAGAAACTGTCTATAAACCTTAGAGAAGTGTACTTTACAAGTTTCTTTTTAAGGTTATACATATAAGCAACTTAACAATTGAAGTTTTGCTTCCCCAAGCTACAAATATATATGCCAAAATGTGTTAAAATTTAATCTAAAACAATGAACAAGTAGTCAGCTGACAGAATTATTCAGCTTCAGAAAAGTTACAATTCTGACCAAAGAAAACCTCTGCTCCAAATTCTAATATAGGAATGTTTTTCAATGTCATCCAGTGGAGATGGAAAAATGCTTGTTCATAAATTCATTGCAATAATTTTAAACATTAAGTTTAAGCACTATTCAACATCAAGGTTTGAAACTGCTTTCCTCAGAAAGAATGCAAAAGGTAAGTTGAAATTGATGTCCAACAATAAACTTACTTTTTTTTTTATTTTTTTATTTTCCTTAATATGAAAATATGTATCATCTTTAACATCAGAGTTAGAGACAAAATGAAGGATTCAAGGCACCCCCTTCCCTATTCCCCCACTCCTTCGAACACACTATAGACAAACAATGAATGATGCTTCTAGTTTTGTATGTCCATTTTTTATTCTCAAATGTCCTTCTATAGAGCACTGAAGATTCTCACACAAGTTGCAGCAAATTCAAATGTAATAGGACTTCTATGATAGATCATTGGTTGCATCCAATTTTAAGCCATCCAGTAAATACAATATGTATAACTAATTGTGCAACAGACTGGAGACAAAACTATAAGTTCTACTGGTGTGTCCAAATGAAATAAAAATGTACAGTAAAAAACAAGACCTTATTATTAAACATTGTTACTTCTCTGATTCATGCATCTTTCTCATAATTTATCTGTCAGGGAACTTAGTTCTACAGATTATTTTGAGAGCCCTAGCTCTCACCCCCCGCCCCTCCCAAATAAAATGAAACTTCTCTGCAGTTTTCTTGTGTGGAAAGGATTTATATCACTTCTTTTGTAAGAGTTAGGGTTAACTTTTCCATCTTGGAAAAGTTTATTCATTTAGTTTGTTAGTGCTTATGAGGAAGAAACCACACATTACTGATCATTTCAGTTCTCAATAAATTGCTTTTGAAAAGAAATACTTTATTTTTCACAAAATGTCATTAATTCCTTCTGGTCTTCATCACCACTAAAAATTTTCTTTGATTTGAAAAAAAGATCTTATTTCATCATGTTCATTATTCAAAAAAAAAAAAAAATTAAAAAATCAATATATACTGCATAAAAAATTATTAATTTTTCTATTTTATTTATTAACACTGAATTAAAAATGATTTCAATTTTTTTTTTCAATGTCAATTTTATTTTCCTTCATCTTAAACTTCTTAATTCACTTTTCTGTACTGAAATCAAACTCATTTAATTATAAGGTTTAAAATTAACATTTTTCTTGATTTTATTGCCTTGTTAATTAAATTAGTGGTTCAGCAAATTTAGTTGTTTGTTGGATTTATATCTGACACGTTTTCTTCTTATACTGTAACACTGTAACAGACTACTATGTAACACCTATGTGTTAATGTTTTATTAAAAAACATTTTGTACAAAGAGACCCACTGGGGCTTTTTTGACTGTATCTGTTTTAGTCGCTGAAATCAAGTCTATTTTTTCACACTTTTCTTGATTTTTTGAATGTATATATATTAGCTCTCAATTTCAAAATAACTTTTTAAGTTAAATTCTATTTTTTCACAATTAACGGGCTACTGGCACCGTTATAAATAGCCTTACCTGTTAATGCAGTGACTAATTTACGGCCAATTTACACCGCAGCTTTAGCTTTTTAACAAATAAAAAAAGTCATATATTGAAAACAAACTTCCTATAAACAAGTATTTTAACCATTTAATTGATTAAATAACGAACGATATTTTACGTTTCTTGTTAATTGCAGCTTAATGAGATGCACCTGTAATTTATAATTTTGTTAATTAATTACCTGATGTTTGCCTCCGCCTTGCCGAGGTGGGCCCGGGACTCGGGACTCCGCTCGATTCATTCAATAGGTTTTCATTTAGTAGACATCCAAAATAAGACATACACATGACAAATAGAAGCAATTCGAGATAAAATTCCTTTTCTCTTTTTTTACATGACGATTACTAATACAATCGTGTAAATGTCTTTTTACACAGGTAAATACCTGTCCGCCATTTTGTCAAATAAATTTCATCTTATTTTTTGAGGACTCCATTCATCACACGATTAATATACGTATTTCCAGCGAAATCTATCACAAGAAGCACAGAAAACAGAACGATATTATATTCTCCAAACGAATCAAGCTGAAGGAAAGCGAAAACAATACACTACTTGGCAAGGTAACACATGTAGTGTGACACCGCGACGCTCTATCGCACCTTGTTTAAGTATAGCGATACTACAGGTAAACTGACAATCCGCCACGGGAGGCAACTCATATTGAGTTATAAGAACACGCAGAGAGAGAGAGAGAGAGAGAGAGAGAGAGAGAGAGAGAGGTTTGTAGTATCAAAAATAAAACTTGTACAGGGTCTGCATGATTCCTCAATCCTGTTTCGCTCGCTCAACATTGCGAAAATCTTTATATGTATTTGTAAAATTTATTTGATGTATAGGATGCATAACTTTTACTATTTGCTATTTTACTATTTCGAATAAAACCCACATATCCTTGATAAACGACAAAGATTTCATATGACTTTCTACTGCCCAATTTTTTCCTAAATAAACTTTGTTACAAAATCTTCCAACACTTTTTGCTTAATTGTCTCCGTGTTTAAAACATTTTAAAAATGTAGATTATTTATAATTTTACTGACTAAATAAATAATTACGTTTTTTCCATCTTGGATAACACACAGTTTATCCAACAATACACACTGTATTATTGTAGAGATAATATTGCAACGTACAAATGTATATACAGCCCGGATGGATGGAAGTATCTGTTAATTTTCTTGCTAGATATAATTCCCCTAAAGTTTTGTGACCAAAACCTAAAATCCGCACTCTTCCAATGCAAAAATTGTACCTGTATAATTATGTGCCTTTTTATGAGGCATATTCCGGAAAATAAGTAATTATAAATCTAATAAATTATCTATTAAAACACCTCATAAATATTAAAGGAAACCCTTGTCATTTCAGTGGTTCGGGATGGTGTATTTTGTACGACCAGAGTCTCTTTCTCGTCTTTAGACCAGCGAGCTACAGAGTTAAATTGCAGCTATGTATGAAAGATGATGTACTTTATAATTTCATAAAATTAATGTGCATTTAACTTAGGCTTTAGCAACTGTAAACAAGGAAGAAAGCATGCAAGAGCTGCTTACTGCGTTTGTATCATTGAATCATATATACTACATGACATGTAATAAAATAATTAATATTGCTGTTGCGGGTTTTTTTTCGATCAATACGATGATTTAGCCACCTCGGAAATACCAAATTCACAATTTCAAAAGCCGGGTCTAAGGGACTTGGGAACAATATTACATGTACGTTTTGTTGACAATTTCTAAATTTCTATAAATGTATTCTAATTAAAATAAAATTCAGTTTAATGAATTGAACTTATATGAAAATGCTTAAAATTCAAAGAAATTTTCGTATTAATATTACCTCAAACATCTGTCTTTGTAAACATGGATATTACTAATGTTTACGTTTCTGTACATTTATTTCAATTTAGTACACACTTATGTTATTGCGCTTTTTGCTTGTTTATTTTTTGATCGAGTTGCGGACTAAAAATAATGTTACAAGCGAGACAACTTCGTTTGCGTAGCTGACGTCAACATATTCTCATTTATTTTTTTATGGGATTTTCCACCCAAAAAGAAAATAGAAAAAGCTTTTTTTGACTGCTGTAAGGATCTCTGATGTTTTAAAATTCAGCACACAATGTGTATATATCTATTCTCAAAAGTGCGTGCGCAATTTAGTTGATCTATTCGTGATTCGAAACAATGACTTTTATTTTCTGGTCCACATGGTCAAATTTTGAGGAGAGTATGACATACATATGGGTGCTTAACACGAAGGATTCTCTGGTCATCCTAAAATGCGGATATAATGTAATGTAAAAAAGGATGTAACTTTGTACTTCCAACATAAACAACAAAAATACGACGTCTTCCTTAATCTTTAGGAACGGAAAAGTAAGTATAACTCAAACGGGGAAGTAATTTATCGTATAATCACACTTGTTATACGTCAGTGGTATAATATGGTGGCTTCAAAATGCTAGAATTCAATGTCGCGTCGCCTCGGTGTCTAGTTCAAGTCTGGTTTCAGTGATGAATGTAAACATTGTAGAAGTTTTTACAGGCAAAAATTATTTTAAGATATCTCTGTGATGCAGTACATGTACATAATTTAAGCCAGTAGTCTCTGTACGTAGCCCCTTTTATTTCGTAAAAATAATAAAAAAAATATCTTAGTTTTTGTCTACAGGGAGGGGGGGGGGGGGGGGGGGGGGGGGGGGGCCCCCCACTTTTTCCCCCAACATTACTTTTACTATAGAAAATGTTCATTGAAGGGATGGTTGGCCCCCCACTTTTTTCCATAGTATAGTGATATCAAAGAATTGTAAGAAAAAAAATTGGAATTAAAAGTAACTTGGCTTTGAAAAAGTTGCCCCCCCCCCCCCCCCACCCACACACAAACGAAATAGGATTTTCGAGTTTGGGCAACTTTTAATTTTCGTTTTTTTTTTTTTTTTTTTTTTTTTTTTTTTGGTTGTCAACTTTTTCAGGGTAGTAAAAAAAATTTCTCTGGTTGGCCCCCCACTTTCAAAAACGATGCTACGTGCCTGGTCTAGTATTAGTTTCAAGTCTTCTTTGTGCTTGTTCATATGCGATATTAAAAATCACACTTCAACTATGCATATTGAAAGAATATATTTCCTCTGTAATTAACAAAAGAGAAAGTAATAAAAATAATGAAAACTTTTAATAAAATTCATTTACAATTTTAGAGATGGATTACGATCCAACAGACATCTTAAGAAAATATGGAGAAAGGCCAGGACTTTTTCATATATCACTGAACGCCTCTCAAAATCCACCAGCACAGCAACTGTCACACAGGATCGAAGTTATAAAGAAATTGATACGGGACTTTCCAGAAGGATTTTCACGTCAAGCATCTAGGAACTTGCTTGGAGCTTTTTATTTTTACAATAAACAATATTTCAAAGCTGTTGATTTATTTCAAGAGGTACTTAAAATTGATCCAAATTCACTAACTGCCTCAGCAAACCTTGCCTTTGTCTATCGGAGATTGAAGCAAGGTTCCAAAGCGGACAAGTATTCATCTGAACTTTCATCAAACGATGATAAGAGACAAGCCGTCGCACTTGCGGACCAAGCTTTTGCCTTCATCTTTGATTGTCACATAGAAAAGGACGTAATGGAAAGGAATAAAGTACCAAAAGATCTACTGGTTCAAAGTCTGGTAAAGCTTAACAAAAGTGACCATAAAGAGGTCATCACGGAGTTGAACTTTTGGTTGGGTCAGACATATTACCGCCTCCTTACACAGTGTCCAAGACAAAAAGGAATGGAAGAAAGTGCAAAAGAGTTTTATATAAAAGGTGTTGAAGCATTGGCAAAAGTTACCAGATGTGAAACTAATGACACGTTTACTAAGGCATTTGTATCCCCTGCATGGGCTTTTGTCGGTCTATTCCTGTCTAGAAGAGGAACAATTAAGGATGAGACTGGACAATTTAAAGAGAAAACCATTGAGCAAATGGACGATGACATCAAACACCATTTGAAGGAACTAGAGCTAATTCAGTTCTTAGAAAATCCTGAAGATTGCTTTAAAAAGGGTCTTGAGTGTGGTTTGGAAGCAAACGATGAATCGTACGAAGAATCAAAACTTTCTACTGAACTATTAATTCGATATGCAATTTTTCTAAAATCTAAAAGGAGATATGAAGAAGCTTTAGAGAAAATTGACGAGTCTTTGGAGATTGATAAAAGCCAAGGAAACTGGTTTGCTTGGACAGTAAGAGGAGACATCTTATTCAAATTGGGAAGAATAGATGAAGCAATTCAAGATAAGGAAATAGCTTGCTCTTGGAATGCAAGCACGCAAGACCTTTGTGAACTGGCCAAAGCGTATCAAGAGAAATACAAGTCATACAAAACAACAGATGAAAAAATGGCAGAAGAATTCCTTTTGAAAGCCTCTGGATATTTTCTTCAAGCAGTAGAAAGCCTGAGGCAGCAGAAACGACCAGAAGTACATCGTGCTTACGGAAGATTCTTACGAGAGATAGGAGAAACAAGAGAAGCTATCGAGTGTTTCAAGAGAGCAATGGAGGTTGATACTGCCAACAAAGCAACACAAAGCTTTACTCAATTATTTGAAACGCTTCTACAGTTTTATAAAAGTTCTGTACAATCGGACACTAAAGAGGAGAGTGAAATATATAAGCTATTGCATGAAATGGCCTACTTTTATGACGTTGCGTTACGAACTCATGGTCAATTAACAAATGAAACCAAAATGTTTCTGAAAGATTTTGAAGTAGAAATGTCTGTTTTGACAGCGTACTTTCAACATTACAGAAATGATCCTTCGTTTCATATTAACGACAAAAGCATATCCGAAATAATAACCTCAGCAATTGAGCCTGGAAATATCGAAAAATGGAATAAGATGGTAAAGGAGAATTTAACACAATTTGAAACTCGAGAAATGTCAAAGAAACTTGATGGAAAGGCAGAAGGCGTAACTCTCTGTTCAAAATGTAAATCTCATGTTGGATATAGAAGACAACTCTCGGCTTTTCCTGTACCACCCGAAAAACCTAGAAATATAAGGTACCCATACGATTTCTATGTCATTTTTTCACCACTTGACAGAGACTGGGTTTGCCACGTGTTGTTGCAAACTCTTGAAGTGTCATATGGCTATAAAGGCGCTGTAGCGGAAAGAGATGTGGTTCCAGGTTCAATGCATGTATATGAACGCACATCCTTTATTCAGAAATGCCCGAAGATACTCGTAGTTTTGGGCCAAGAATTTGAAGACGATCTTGAATGTAAATATGAATTATCTCATGCTCTCCTTAGAATGAACAGTGAAAAATCTGAAAATATATTGATTCCAATCTGTCGTACCATTCATGGCATGCATCCAAGTCTGAGGACTATAACTTATCTTGATGCAGTGGATGATTGTGATTGGAATAAACTGATCAAGGCATTGGAGCTGAAATGAGTGATAGGAATATGAGTGATAGGAATATTATACTGTATACTAAATTAACATGTACTAGACTGCTATGTCCACCTCGTTTTTATACATACACGATAAAGGACCTGCATTTATCGAAAATGGCTTCATTGTCTGGAGAATTATTCATTTACTTCTATTTCCCACCGTCCAATCCCCCTCTCTTTCTCTCAAACAGACGTCATCGCACAAGACTTGGTAGGTTATATTACAGATTTAGATTAGCCCAAGTACCAAGGTAAAAACATTTCAATAAATCCCACACACTGCAAAAAGCCAAGTCTATCAAACAAATGGACCATGAGTGTAGAACAGAAAATTGCAAGATAATCTAGATTCGCGTGTGGTGAGTACGATGGACAATTGGACACACCTGAAAGTTCTTTACTTTGATTTTTTGACAGCTATATGATTTTATTTCAACAAAAAGGATATAAAAC